GTTGGACATCAGCAGGAATTTGTCCCTGGAAAGGGGGGTCAGGCATTGGCAGGGGCTGCCCAGGGAGGTTTGGAGTCCCCACCCCTGGAGGTGTCCCAGGAAGGCCTGGCCGTGGCACTCAGTGCTCTGGGCTGGGGGACAAGGTGGGCATCGGGCACAGGGGGGATCCATGTGCTGGAAGGGCTTTTCCAACCTCAGTGATCCTGTGATTCTATTCTGTGATTCCGTTCTCTGACTCTATCCCACGACTCCGTCCCCTCCTCTCTCCCCGCAGGCAGCGCCCAGGAGATGCAGTCTCCCTCGGCGGAGGTGCCCCCTCCGCAACCGCCCAGCCCCGAGCTGAAGGACACGTCCTAACCCCGCCCCGGGGGGACTTTGCTGACCAGCGGAGGGAGGAGGGGGCTGCGGGGCACCAGCCCGGCTTTCCTGGCACGGCCGGAGTCCGCTGGGATTTCCTCGGTGCTGCCGCAGCCCAGACCCTCGAGTGCCACCCCCGGCACGGGGGAGCGGCGGGCGCGGCGGGGACACGGTGGGGACCTGCCGTGACAAAGGGGCCATTCCCACCCGCGCCCTGGGCCAGGACTCGGAGGGGGGAATTTTTTTTGCCTCTCCAGGGGGAGGAATATTTTTCTTCTGGGGCATTTGGCGGAGCCGAGCGCGGAGGGGGCCCCGGGGGGGCCCTCCCGGCCGCAGGAGCAGCCACGGTGTTTCTTGCTGAGTGTGGTGTTCACTGTGATGTTTTTGGGTACCACCTCGTGTCCTGGCTTTTCTTCTGGGGCGTGTGGGAGCCTTTCTCAACAACTGGGGGGAAGGGGGATCACGACACAACTTCAACAGCCCCCCCGGCACTTAAGCAAAGCCCCCCCTGCAGCCAGCACGTCGCTGAGGGTTCCCACCCAGGGTGGCCTCTGCTCCTGGGTATGGGGAGATGGGTGATTTTGGGGAGTGGGGAGCAGGGCGATGCTGTTTGGAGCATGCCCAGCCCCCATGCCAGGGGCACCCACGGGTCCCCACGCTGGGTTCCCCTCCCGCAGCCCCGGGACTGGGGGAAGCAGCGGGGCCAGTGGGGTCCTGCGGCGTTCGGTGATGCGAGAGACACGGAGAGGGGCTTTCCCGGGCTCTCCCAAATCCCCTGCTTCTGCCAGCGGCGGGCATGGGACCCTCCTGCCCGGGCACCGAGGGGCTGAGGGAGGATTCACTGCCGGCTCTGCCCGGGCCAGGGGCTGGATGGCCGGGATGCCGGAGCCGGGCAGGGCGGTTGGACGTGGAGCTGGACCCATCCCATCCCATCCCGGATGGTCACCTATAGCTGTCGCTGTGGGACCAGCAAAGCGATCCCGAAGCCCAAGTCCCCTCTCTCTGGTCACCGCCCGGGCGGTGGCCGGGACAGGGAGAGCTGTGCGGGGCCACCCTCAGGGACACACCGCACCCAGCACCCCGGAGGGGCCGGGCAGCTCCCGGGCACTGTGTCCATCGCTCGGAGTGGGGGCCAGTCCCGGGTGGAACAGGGTGTGGGGTGTGGGAGGACACCTGTGTGCGTGGACACCCGTGTGGGGGCATGTGCAGGGCCGTCCATGAGCAGGGCACACGTGTGCGTGTACCTCCGTGTGCGTGTGCATCCATGAGCGTGGGCACCCGTGTGCGTGGACATGTGCAGAGCCAACCACGAGCAGGGCATACATGTGCATGTGTGAGGGGATTCATGGCATGGGCACCCATCTACATGGGCATCCGTGTGCATGTATGGGTGTGCATCCCTATGCATGTGCATCCATGTACGTGTGCATCCGTGTGCACGTCCATGCTTATGTGTGGGCACCCGTGTGCAGGGATATCCACGTGCATCCGTGTGCGTGTGCGTCCATGCATGTGGGCATCTGTGTTCCTGGGCACCCATGTGCACGGGAATCCTTGTGTGTGGGCGTCCTTGTGCATGAGCACACGTGTGCAGGGATGTCCATGTGTGTGGGCGTCCGTGTGTGGGGGCATCTGTGTGCACGTGCACCCACGTGTGTGGGCATCCGTGTCCATGGGCATTCATGGGAAAGAGCATCCATTTTCATGTGCCTCCCTGTGCAGGGGCACCCGTGTGCATGTGCGGGGGCACTGGTGCACATGTGTGCGTACATGTATGTGTGTGTGTGTGGGCACCCGTGTGCGTGGGCACGGGCTCCGTTGCACAGGGGTGTCTGTGTGCACATGTGCCTCCGTGCACGGAGCACCCACGTGTGTGGGCACCTTTGTGCATCCCCGTGTGAGGGTGCTGTGCCCGTGGGTGTGCTCCTCTGTGTGTGTGTGTGTGTGTGTCTGTGTGTCTGTGTGTCTGTGTGTCTGTGTCTGTGTGTCTGTGTCTGTGTGTCTGTGTCTGTGTGTC